TCTGAAAAAGAAGCAAGATCGTGTAACGATAAATTTTTTATAAAATAATAATAACCAAGTAATATTATTCTACACAAAATGTCAATAAACAAGTGGAGAATAGATTTCACAAACCTTTCAGACCAGGCAAGGTAATGAGTTTTGACGTTAATTCTTTTAGAAAGACCTTACTATTTTCTTGGCCTGATAAATCTTTTTTTTTTAATATGAAGGAAAGTTGAATTACGAGGTCATCATGTGATAGTCGATCCACCAACCCCACCAGGCTTTGAAACTTCAGTTCAAATCACCGCTTCAGGCTCAAGAAGTAGTTTGGTTTGTATGCAAGGTGATGGTGTATAAATAATCGACACTTTTAGTTGATTGGCTAATTTTATTTGATGTTTAGAAAAATAAAAAGGATACGCAAATTAGTCAAACAGATAAAGATCAAGAACAACTTAAGAGAAAAGTATGCATGACACAATTTATTCATTAAAATTCAATTATTTTATTAATGTTTATCGTTCGTAGTATGTTGATTATCATTAAAAAGCTCGGGAATCAGCTATCGCACCTGGAAAAAAATATACCTATGAGCGTAATCATGTTATGGCTGAGCGGAAACAGTGTACAAATATTCAGTGTTATGATCACAGGAATGCTTTTTTTCCAACCAATAAAGGCCATGATGAGCATAGAAAGTGGTAGGTTCATTATCGAATCCTAAAAGTAATGATAATTTTGACATTTAAATTTGCTCACAACAATTGTTCTTAAAGTATTTGAAAGATACGAATCAATAAAATCCGGATCTTTAATATGGCAAAAACTTGTATATGTTCTTTTGCAACTTTTTACAATGGGTCTCGGATTATATAAGTGTTTTTCTATGGGACTTTTGCCAACTGCAACTTCTGATTGGTTGGCATTCATGGAACCTAAACAGGTATAGTTTAATTCATAAATATCCAATTTAAGATCAAAAACTTATTAGCCTTTCTGTTATGAATATATATAGATTGTTGAATATTCTACAGTATTATGAAAATTTCTTTTTTGTAAATTATGTTTATTGTATATGTAAATATACAAAGGAACACTAATAAATTTATAATAGATTTTAATAAATTTCTTTCAACTCCATATCGTGTTTAAAGACAAATAATATAACTCTAATGAAAGGATTTGTACGTCAATATCTATTATTGTAATTAAAACATACAAGATATATTTACCATTAAATTGTTTATAAATTTTATTTTTGATTTTGAGCACCAATCTCGGATCCAACATTTTCTAAAGCCTTTTCCGCTTCTGTCAATTCTTTAGTACCAATCCATGATGGATTTTTTTGATTCTATATGTTTAAAAATTATTATAAGTAGGGAATCACGTGTCTATATGATATTCGGGATCACTTAATTAATTATGCGGTTCCGTATTGTTTGACCTACTATTACTGTGTCGTTATAACGGAACCAGTATATAGTTTATAATGTGAATGTTAAACTTACAACAAAATGCACAATCCAGAATCAAAGTGTTACC